GAGCTTCAACTAGATGCAAGCCCTCATTGGATCAAAGTCAGTTTAGATAAGGGCAGCTCAAGGTCACAAAGGGAGATGCCCAGCAGGTTCATTTGCATTAAAAATTGCTGTTAGAAATGGGACACTGAGGCAGCTCTAGCGTTTTGATCTCTTGGCCTTTGTCATGGAGATTCCTAGTAGTGAAGGGAGTAAGGCCAGTGTCCCAGATAATGATTAACTGTTTTAATGGCATTCATTCATTCATTCCACACTAACTACTCATGCAGAAAAAAGGGTTATGTAAAATGACATTAGAAGAAAATCATTTGTAATCGTTGCATCGGGCTGCACTTTGAGGAGACATTAGGAGTAAATCCGTAGCGTGGTAGGCTTATGCTTTATCTTCTGATATTTACTGAGTTTACTGGTGCATGAAAACCTTTCAGCAAGAATAGCAGATGGGATGGACCTTTCATAGGTAATGCTATCTACCAGGTTATTACTTCTATATATTGATAGTAAAGTAATCTCTAAGATATCACCCTACAAATACAGATTATTTAAATGTCTGTAACCAAGGAAAAAAAAGACTTGCTGTCATAAATAGTTCATTTGATATCTATTGGGTCAAAATTCTTTAGATAAATTTTTTGACTTTAAAAAAACTTCTATAAAACTGTATTCATTCTCTTGCATTTAACTTTTGTTAGCAGTAGATACATATGACAGAACCCTTAGAATTATATATATATAAGACAGAACTTAGAGTTGTATCAGTTGACACATTCTACTTAAAATTGGACCTTTACTATTAATTAAAAATAAAGACAATGCACCAAGGCAAAAGTATTGAGTCACAAATTTATATTTCTAACACTTTAAGTGACATAAAGATTTTAGTTAGATCCTAGTATGAAAACTCGTCTGCTAGAAATCATTGAGTTTTCAGTACTGTGTTCTAATACAGAAATGTTCTCTACTTAGGTAAGATCTAGGCTGATTTCATTCCTATTAAGTCCTAGTGCATGATAGTTTAGTAAAATTGTGTAGATAGCATTTGTCATGTCATTTACTAATTAATTATTGTGAAACAGTTTAGAATTTTATAATATAATATAAATACTGTTGCTATTTTTATTAGTAATAATGGAAGTTTTTAGCTAGTGACATTTAGATAACGAACATCCACATGTATGCATTTCCTCCGAGGGCATAAATGAACAGTGGGGCTGTATATGAGCTTGCTTAGTTATTTATTTATTTATTTATTTATTTATTTTGGTACTGGGGATCAAACTCGAGTCCTTGCGCTTGTGCAGCAGGCAGCGAAACCACTGAGCTAAATCCCCAGCCCTATATGAGCTTATTTTTAAAATAAAATAACAAGTGTCAACATGAAACATAGTTTCAAACTCTTGATAAGAAGGATCTCTTTATCCTTGGTACTGTAAGAATGAGTTCCTAATCTCTTTGCATTACTAATTCCTTCCTGATTTTGCAAGAATATATACCACACTCGCAATTTGAAGTAGAAGAGACTCTAGGGAAGCTGTTGTTAATTTATTCACTTTTTATCAAAGCATAATTTTATAGGATTGTTCTTAATGGCAAAAAAATTAATAGTTTTCCAATGTACCCATATTATTATTTACAATAGCTAAAATTTATTGAATGTTTACTGTGGACCATGAGCTTTACATATTTTTTACCTCATTATTCATTCCATAATACTATATTTCTGAACTCTTACTATATACCTGTTCCTGTTCTGGAAACTAAGGTACAGCAGTGAACAAAAGCAGACAGAAATCTGGCCCTCAAAGAACTTACTTTCTCTTTGCCTACTAGTTGGGGCAGGAACAGATAAAATAAGTAAAATATTTCATATTTCAGATACAATAGGTACCATTGAGCTTTTTGGTTTAGGGAGATTGGAGGGTGGTTTTCAAGGGAGCCTAGGAGGATAGGTCATGCCAATTGGAAGGAGCTAGCAATTTTAAATAGGGCAGTTAGAAGAGGCTTATTAATAACATGACTGTTGAGATAAGACTGGGAGGTGACACAGTATACCATGATATGTGTTAGAGAAGAGCAGCCCAGGCAGATGGTACAGCTGATGCCAAATTTTGAGGTAGAAGTTTTTCTGGAATATTCAGAGAACAATGAAAAGGCTAGTGGGATATGAAGACATGCTCCAAGACCTACAGCAAGGTGAGACAAGTAGAGGAAGCAAACTGTAGGCCATTTTAAGATTCTTGGCCTTCACTGAGTGAGATAAGAAACTGTTAAGAGGGTTTACAACTGAGGAGTAATATGCTCTGATTTATATGTGGAAGAATCACCCTATGTTGAGAATAGGCTGCAAAGGGCAGAGATAGAAGCAGAGAGTCTCTTGTAATCCTCTAATGAGAAGTAAATAGTCAGACCTGGATAGCAGTGATGCAGTGCATAAAAGGATGGTGTATCTTACAGAGCTAGTAAGCATGACTGATGTATGATATGAAGCATGTGAGAGAGATAAGTCAAGGTTGTTGATTTTTGGCCTAAGCAATTGGAAGTAGAGTTGCTGATAAAGAAATGGGAAAGAAAATAGGAGCATATTTGAGGACAGGCTTTGGTTTTAATTTCAAATTTGAGATCCTACACATTAGACATTCTAGTAAAGATATGAATGAATATAGAGTTGAGAGATAATTCCTACTAAGGGATAAATACATTAGAACTGCCTGTTATTTTTTTAGACTAAGACAATGAAATAACTAAATTCAAGCGAATTCCATAAAAGTTTTGTTTCATGTCCTCAATCAGTAGCAAAGATTTTCAGTGTGTCTATTTTATACATCTTTATTGGCTACATAACTACTTTCCAGTCTTTAGAATTTTGAAGTCTTTAACATCTACTCATTTACCACCTATTTATTTACTGAGCACTTACTATGTTCTAGCTTTGGGTCAGCAAAGTTTTTCTGTAAAGTGCCAAATGGTAAATGTTTTAGCTTGGTAGGCCATGTGGTGTTTGTCACAACTCTAGCCTTGTAGCATGAAAGCAGCTATAAATAATCCATACTGATACATGTGGTTGTGTTCCAATAAATTTTTATTAGCAGATGCTGAAACTTGAATTTCACATAATTTTCATGGATCGCTAAATACTTTTTATTTTTGACCATTTAAAAATATAAAAACCATTCTGACTTTGGGCCATCCAAAAAACAGAGTAGGCTAGATTTGGCCTATGGGCCATAGTTTGCTAATCCCTGTTCTAGGTTCTGGTCAAAAGGAAATGCAGTGGAGTAAACAAAAGTTCCCACCCCCATGCAGCTTACATTATGTGACAAGGCAGTAAATAAGCAATAATCAGTAACTACTATGGAAAGGGATGACCTGGAGTCTTGGAGATATAAACAAATGTCAGTGTTAAATAAAGATAACCTTTGCTCTGAGAGGTAATAGGAATGAGCCTGTAGACAGTTGTGTAATAATTTTACTTTCCTTGTGTCCTGTATACTTAAGGAAAAGCCAGAAGTACCATCGTAGTATATATAGGTAGTCCTTTTGAGGAAGCTTCTACTTGTATCCATACCAATCATATCCCTGTTGATATGGTTCTCCCTGAGCTCTCTCATCATTGCTTCCTGTTTTATCTTGTCCTTTTACACAGGATTCAGGTCAATGGAATGTCCTATTCCAATGGTATAAACATAGCATATTTTTCTTCTCATTAATGAATATAGAAATCTTGCCTCAAAGACAAATTATGTCATATATTTGTACAAACATAAATAGAACAATTTATAAACAAATGCCTTTTTTAGAAAGTATTTATTATTTGGGGTGGGTTATTTTTATCATCACTTATAGTCTCTGCTCACAGGTTATTGTTTTCCCTGAGTTTTAAAGAAATAAATTTAATGAAATAAAGAAACAAGAGGTAAAAACTGAAGATTTTTATTACCTGTTCATCATTTTCCTATGGCAGGAAACACACGACCAGGTACCTGTTTACAACAGCAAACAAAATTAATTGGCAGATGAGCTCTCTTTGTTTCCAGATTCCAATAATGAACAGAAGAAATAAATTTACCCAAGTTCATTCCCATTCCTACCTCTTAAGGATTAGGTTTTCCTCCTCTTGGTTAAAGACAACACTTCCTCACAGGTCTTGCCCTGTCCATTGCCTTCTACCTCCTGTCTGTTTTCAACTGCTCAGGTCTCTCCCATCCAGAAAACAATCTCTAAGAAATCTTCCTCCTAAGAACCCCCATCTTAATTTGTCCCTTCTTATTCATGCTTCTCAAAATAATATACAACTGCTCTTTCCCTTTCTTCTATGTGTATTCAACTTTTTAATGTTTCTTATTGGGCGATGTATACATACTGAAAACTACGTTAAATATGTGAATAATTTAATGAATTAGTTATATAACACACACCCAGGTAACCACCTCCATATGGTAAGAAACAGGAAATTGCAGCTACTCTGAAACGTCTATGTGCTGTTCTCTCCCTACTGGAAGTAGCAACTGTCCTGGCTTTTCTGAATAATCAGTTCTTTACTCTATTTTCTTTTTCACCTTTGTGTGTATCCCTTCACTCTTAACCCTACTACATTTTACTTTTTCTATCTTCAGACTAATTTCAAATTTTTCAATAAAGTAATCTATGAACAATTGCACTTAAAATGACTGTTTCTTGTCACTGATATTATTAGGCCTCTCTGCTGTACTCAGCATTATAGCATTATTCATCCTTCCTGAATCTAGTTTTAAGGCCTATACCTGTATTCTGTGTCTCCACATCCTTGAGCCCTTCTTTCTCTGTTCCTTTTACAAGCTCCTCTGCCTACCTCTTAAATGTTGCTGTCTCCAGGATTCTATTCTTTGTTCACTGCCACTCCACACTAAACTCTAAAAAGCCATATTTCAAAGGAATCTCTTACCAAATAAGAGCTCTTTTGGAAAGGACAAGATTTGATTTCTCTTCTAACATTTATTAAACCCTCACAAATATTTATGTTGCAGACCAAACCTGGACCACCCAAAAAGCCGAAGACCCCTCCTGGACAATCAGCCTTGGTGTATTGCTACAACTGTGCACAAAAAGGCCATTATGGACATGTAAGTTTGAGTAATGTTTGGGCATAAAGCATTCTGTTGTCAGGGAGTGGCTGCTGAAAGATCAACTCAAGAAAAATATAATTCTGAATGCTTACATGTTTACAAACTAACATTCAGAGGTAGACTTATGTATTTCCAACTAATTTACTTCTCTTATCCCTGCCAGACTGAGAGTCTATCAGTGCATATCTCTCTAATTACTTTAAATGTATATGAAAACAAATACAGTTCGTAAAGCCAATCAGACAAATAATAGTCAACAATATGGTAGTAGTTCTCATGAGTTCTTATACCTACTGTTATTTTGACACAACTACATTATGTTTTAAATATTCCTCTTAGTTTTCCAGTTTTCCCTGGTACCATGTTCAGTTAAACCTTTGTCGAGCCAGGGATTTAGCTCAGTGGTGCCACTGCCTGCCTCGCAAGTACAAGGTCCTGAGTTCGATCCCCAGTGCCAAAAAAAAAAAAAAAAGAAAATATCTTTGTCACTCACTTGTAAACCCTGACACTCAGTCATGGTAAGACAGCGATGGAGGTGCACATTAGCACCCTGGCCAGTTGCCACATTAAGTATGAAACAGCAGCTGTTAATCCCTGCGACAACCTGCAATAAGAAGAGACTCAGAGCCCATATATGCTGGGAATCTTGAAGCAGAGGAAAAAGGACAGTGGCACAGAAAGTAGAAAACCTGTGTGAGGTTATGCATTCCTATTCACCAGATAGGCATCTCACAGCCTAGAAACTAAGGTAAACTAATAGATTGAATGGCAGGAGGGAGAAAGCATACAGAGGCTTAGGAGACCTCAAAGGGATGCGCAGTAGAATGGAGTAATTGTAGGCCTCTCTTGAATTCCAGCCATGTACTTTATTGTATAGATCCTGAGAGCACTACATCATAGGGAGAGAAAAAGGCTGGGAGAAGAAAAAGTGCTGGACAGAGTCCAACAACAGATCATTTATGTTCCAAATTATAGCAGAAACATAATGGGGAGTAGAATATGAAAACTAGATTGAGGCTCTGGTCCTCAGTTCTAATTTTTGCTCTGCTACCAACTTAACCAGGTGATTTGAACAACTTTTTTCCTCTTGTCCTCAATCTTTATCTCCAAAGCAAAGAGGAAGTATACAGGGAATCTCTTGGCACTGACATTTGGATACTGTTTCCAGTGTGATCAAACCCACCATATGGTGATACAGATTCTTCAGTATTCTTACTTCCATTCTCTAGAACTCACATTGAGAGCCTTACTAGAGAAGATTTCTTTTATAAAATTATCATCTCTAGGTCTTTACTGCTCCATGCATTCATCTTTGTTAGCAACATTCAGATGTTACCAACATCTTTTAGAAAACATATTCACATAAGTAGTCCACTGCCACGTAAGTCACACAGATGTACAATTTATGTCTACTTACTTCTTTAAAGCAAAAAGGTACAATTTTAGCATTTATGTTTGTTCAATTAAAGAAAACAATTATAGTTGAGTACTTACTGCTTACTAGTCTTTCCTGCTAGTATAAATAGGAAATATATTCAAAACATTTGGAATTTATCCCCAAAATCTAGATTTAGATTATTTTTAATTTATAATAAAGCAAATTTGGCCACCTCATAACTGCCGTAGATGAAGAACTCTAAATTATCCAGCACTAATGAAGAAGATCAGTGGTGTGGCTAATCCAGAATAGTAGATAAATTATATAGCTAACTATCAATTGTCTGTGCTAATGGAGGGGACCAGTGATGTGGATAATCAAAATATGATTTACATTTAACTTTGGAAAACATTTGTAGTACTGGATAGCTCTGTGTAGTCATATCAGGCTAGACTGTATGGGACCAAATAGGACACTATGCATTACAGGTTGTTAAAGATGCCTGAGGACCCTTCCTCTTCAGTTACAGAAATTCAGCCCTATAAATGTTGCTATTGAATAGATTCTTCATATGAAAGTTACGACATTTCCCTTCCCTACTTCCATTCATTCTCTAACTAGGGAGGCAAGAACAGTAGTCACTATATAAAATGACTACTCAGAAAGGTGTGAAAGGGTGAGGAGGGGCTGGGAGAGTTAAAAGGTTCTGTTTACATAGGTATTAAATAAGTGTGTTGGGCCAGGAATTTAGCTCAGTGGTTCTGCCGCCTTCCCCGCAAGCACAAGGTCCCAAGTTGAATCCCCAGTACATAAATACATAAATAAATAAATAAAATAAAATAAATAAATAAATAAGTGTGTCAAGATCTCTAGTAATCATAATTTGATCCTACTGTTGTATGATTGGAATTCTTAGTAGAGATAAAATTTATCTCTTAATAGAGCTAAAATTGCTTTATACCCCACCATTGCAGTGTACTAGATTATTCTGAACATACTACTTGTGCCACACTAAGTTTTGTGCTTTTATGTGATTTATCTACTTAATTAGCAGCCTTTCATTTCTGTTATGGTTAGAATCTTAAAGACACATCTTTCATTGTTATCTGTTCTCCTGAGAATGGAGACTTGGAATAGTACAGATAATGGTTTATGGAAAAAACTTTTTATGTTATCATATAAGTTTGCCTTATAACTTGTGAACTCCAAAAAGTCACAACAGAAAAAAGATGGCAGAAGGAAGGAAATAAATAAAGATAAGAAACACAATTATTGATTTGGAAAGCTAAACAGCATCAACAAAACCAAAAGTTGGTTCTTTGAAAATTCCTTCTTGGGGGGAAAAATGGAAGTCAGTTAAGGTAAAATGCTTGATTTGATATGAGAAGTAAATACAGATTTCTATTTTACTTTCTTAAGTGTGTATTTAAAATGATTCGTAACTTATTTAAAACTACAAATTAACTGCATAAAATGTATTGCTACCAACTTGGTCGTATGTTTTAGAGTATAAGTCCAGTATATAATGTCAAAAGAATGACGAGTCAGTTAAATTCTATGTGAATATTTTACATACTTTCTAAAAGTTATTCTAATTTTTTTTAATACTTTCCTAAGAAATGTTGGACATTTGTAAATAATTTCAGGCATTGTTTAGAAAACAATGAGAAAGTTCCAAAGGGAAACCTCCTTCAAAGAGAAAATGATTTAGACATGCTGAAAAGTGACGTGTCACAGATTGTAGTAAACAGAAGCCTTTTCTATGGACAGTGGCCCAGGCCACAGGTATATATTTGGGAAATATCAACAGTGAGAGTGCCAGAGTCATGAGAGTGGGGAGCTGCCCTAGGGAAATAAATAAGAAGAATGATTTCAACTTGGGGGCGGAAACAAGGAGGGGAGAGATTTCCTTTGGAGTCTCTCAGAATTACCTGGGAACATTTTCAAAGTAGACATAACCCAGCACCACTCCATTCCACACCATGAGAATCACCTAGTAAGTAGTCAGTGTTGAGTTGAAATAAGCTTGCAAACCATTTGTATCTATAGAAAAGACCAAAGGGCTAAGAATTTACACCCGCATTTTGGGGATGGGAAGAAGAGAAAGAAGAGTCAGAAAAGAAAAGGATAAATAATAGCATCAGAATGAATAAAAATAAACCCACTAACAGAAGACAGTGTGATTGACACTATCCTTCAGTGCCTTAACTCAGACTGAGGGAGGAGTTTGGCAGGGACAGTTGAAGAAAGATAAGAATTTCATAGGTACAGAAGTAAGAGAAGAAAGCCCAAGACTGAAAGTATAGCACATAAGCACAGCGAGGTTGTTGGGCTGCATGACCCTTCACTGCATTCAGCAAGGACCATGTCCAGCAGCCACAACATGAGGCACCAATGATGTGGGGCTCATTGCTAATTAACATGATCTAGAAGCTCACAAGAAGGTTTTCTGAACAAAGCAACCTTGTGACATCATAATTTCAAATATAATTTGTAGGAATGTACAGAAAGGCGAATGTTTAACCAGACATTTCCAACATCTCCATTCATCTACTACTATGATGACAAATACGAAATTCGAGAGAGAGATCAGAGAATAAAACGAAAAGTAAAAGGTATGTTATTAGAATTCTTGTTAAAGCACTTCTGCAGTATTTCCTATATTGCCTTGTTTTGGAGTCATTGTTTAGCCTAGAAAACATTTTTAATTACCACAGAAACCAGAAGTTTTTTGGTCTCCAAAAACCAGGCACCTACTTCAGAAATCCTGTGTTGTAATGTATTCACTATAAGCACAGTGAACATTTCAGAAAATGTTCAGAAAAATACTGTTATTCATCTGTGCATGCAGGGCTTTAAAGATTCCTTTTGAGATTTTGACACTTAATTTTTTCTCTTTTTTTAACTGTTTGCATTTGGTTCTTTTCAAAATGAACATACTAATTCTGAGGGAAGTAGAGGAATTACTTCTCACAGCTCCAGCATCGTTTACATATTATATTTAATATAAAATTTATCTCAACTGTAGAGAAATTATAGTACATGAAGATAATGGTTAAGCAGCTAAATTAGAAAGATTAAAAGAAATGTATGAAATGTCATCTCTGAATTAAGGATTATGAATGCCTTCCATTTTATTTTCTTTGTACTATTCTGTTTTTTCAAATTTTCTGTAATGAGCATTTATATGTTTTATTATCCAAGAAAAATATTTTTTCTCCTTTTTAGCTCATTAACAACTCTGTAGCACTGATCCATTTTGAGGTGCACTGTAATTCATTAGGATTTTGATTTTATTCTAAAATTCTTATATTAAAATTTTTATTGGCCACTTTAATCATTCAAGGTTCTGTTGATATATTTAATTTTCGTCCCTTACTGTAACCTCATCTCCCACCTACCATCAGACGCTCTTGGTGTGTCAAATACTGAAAAAATATAACATCATTTGGCACTAAAACCTCTTACGATAAATGTACATGAATATCCCTCCTCATTGTGCACCCATATACACTCCCCAAGCCAGTAGTCTCTACTCTGGAGGAATAGAGGTTTGACATCTACCTCTCAGAACTGTGGCCAGATTTTATCATCAGAGTCTAATTGAAATGTTATAAGAGATTGTCAAAAGGCCACTTTATATATCTCCCTTCCCCTTATCTTTATGGGCTTTTGATCACTAGAGAACTTGACCTGGTCAGACATGACTTTTCTTCACAAAGCCAAGATGATTATGATTACTGTTCTTCCTGGGCTTTGTCTCCATTGTTTAATATAGTTAAACTGTGATGAAAATATCATTGGATTTTAGATATTTTCCCTTTTCAGCAATCAGGAATGTAGAACTACAACCATTCAATTTTCAGTGAGACTTTTTTTTTAACCTTAGTAAGGTATTTTTATAATGTTAACTGTCTTCCCCATCTGCTAAGTTATTTACAGATCTGTGAAAATTCTACATGAACTGTCTAGCTGCTGAATATGCAAAACTACTTTTATATTTTCCAGAACTCCAGAAAAATGGGGATTTTCCAAGGCAGTTCAAGAGACCACATATGGAAGCAGCAGATAAGAGACCCCAACATGACATGAGGAAGAGCCACGTCTCCTGGGAAAACAACAGGTGGCGTCAAGAAGATAAAGAAGCTCAAAGAGAAATGATGAGCAGGAATAGAGACCCAGAGAAGCACAGGAAGGTTGACAGACGTTGGGAAGTGAATGAGGACTTTCCTAGGGGCACCAGAACTCACTCTTCTCCCAGAAGTTTTAAAACCCAGAAGTCTCACAAGTCCTTTCACCACTCATCGCATCATAAGCCAAGGGAAGACAAGCTTCCCAAAGAGGGCAAGTGGAGCAAGCAGAAGAAAAAGAAATACATGGAAGATGATGGCAATGATAATTTATTTCTTATTAAGCAAAGGAAAAAAAAATCTAAGATGTGATACAGCTTCTAATTGGCTTCATGTCTACAACATTCTAGTAATATTTTTATTACTTATAATTAAATAAAGGGAAGGTTGGGGTTTTGATTGTTTGATTTTTGCCATACCTAAAGTTGCTGAACAAATGTCATGGAGATCTCAGTTCTCTACATCCAACAGGTTATTAGGTGGAAAACAGATAAACTTGGACCTTCTGTTGTAATAATATTTTTACTTAGAATCTTTGGGATAGAAAAAAAAAATCAGTCTTTTCAAGAAAACTTTTAAATTTACTTGAAAAAATAAAAATTCACAAATGCAATGTACTTGCAATGTGGGATGAAAATTAAATCTTTGTAGGAGAAATTATTACTAATAAGAAAATTCGTTACTCAGGATTTTAACATGGAAAGGGACAGTGGCTGTAAATCTAAATCCAGCTTTTCTTCTAAAACTGTTGTCAGAAGCTTCCTTTGGAGTAAATATCACAGGCTGAATATAAAATGAAAATAACATTAAAGCCCTGAGGGAATTGGGCTATTAACAAAGTACGAAAAAGAAATCTGTCCAGTATAAATGTATTAAGACAGATTTCCTGAAATATATCAAAAAGTATCAAAAATGTTAACACAATCACATTGAAAGAGTTTGTACCATTTTTATAGCCACATTTCAAGACCATCATTCAGGTATATAGAGATGAATACTGCCCAACTTAAAAATTGTGCTGTTTTCATGGATTTTTTTTAACTACCATACGGAGATACAGAATTTTTTTGTATTGTGAACTTTTTATACTTCTCAAAGCCTAATGTTAGAATAAGAAAGATAAAATGTCTGAAACAATAAATTTGTCTGTTATGTAAAATGACAATGAGAGTTTGGGTCTCACAGGACATAGTTGTGTTGGTCAAGTGACTAAATTTATAAAATCACCAAGAACTGGAGTCAGAAGTGCCCTTTTTGCCCAACCACAAGCTCTTTGTCAGAATAAAATGGTATGGGATCAGTTAAACAGGATAATTTTGTAATGTTGGCTTCTTATATTTGTACTTTATTCTTTGGGAAGTATGCAAACTGCTATATAGCTTGGTAGGATCCACTCTCTTAACTTTTGAGAGGAAGGAGAATTCTCTCTTCCCATATCAACCTTCATAGAATTTGTAGGCCCACAGTCTTTAGCCCACCATCCTTCTTTTGCAGCACAGCTTTAGATAAGTTTATTGCCTTTTGGTTCATGGCTTCCTAACATTAACTGAAGTTGTTTTGGCCCTAAGGTAAGCAACCAGAAGCTTAACACCCTGCTGAAAGTGACAGCCATGAAAAATAGCTTTGTGGAAGTGTGGTAAGCCTTGAGATAATTGGCATAATTCCCCAGAAGAACCTGTGATGAACATGGCTTACTGATCTGATGAAACTAGCACCCCTTCTGATCCTAGGGCATCTCGTCTCAGGCCAAAAGTAAGATTACCATTATTTATGTTCTTTCATACATGGAAGATTGCTTAGAAATGGGGAGAAAGGATTTTTTTCATCTTATTTTTCCCCCAAATTTTCCTTCTTAGACAAACATTTTGTTCTTAGGTATGATTTACCCATCAGTTTCATGAATTTATGTACAAATAGGGAAAAAGGCTGAGCTACTTCACCTGAGGCCATAAAGATGCAGCCTGTTTCCTGATGAGGCAAGAGCAGAAATACGGAAGAACCCCTGCTGTTTTCTCTTCCTTCCCTTGCCCATCCTCCCTCTTACACCACAGTGTTCAATTAAAGTTAGTCATTTACTTAACTTATTCACACATAAACTTTCCATACAAGAATAAGAAGCTCAAAACAGATAGATTGAACAGTTAATCACATGAGACTTTATGGAAAAATAAAAGAAAGGCAGATCTCCAGAACAAGAAGGTTCTGTACAGTTACAAGGATTGAGAAGACTTGAATCATTTTTTTTTTCCTTAAGACAAGGTCTCACTATGTAGTCCAGGCTGTCTTTGAGCTCACTGTGTAGCTGAGGCTGGCCTCAAACTCATGGCGATCATCCTGCAACAGTCTCCTGAGTGCTGGGATTACAGGCCAGTTACCTTGCCTGGCTTCGAAGCATCTTTTCCCTCCACCCCCTCTTTGATTAGAAACAGCCTGAGTGACTCCTTTCCTAGCTCCATATAAACATCATTTATCTTTGGCATTTTCAGAATAGAATGAAGAGAAACCAGCCTTCCCTCGGTAGAAAGCTTTACTTTCATGAACCTTGCTATTAACCATACTTATAGTTAGCCCTTTATTTTTATGCTATACAAAGATTACATACTCATTATAAAAAAAAATATATACATGATTCTTCCACCCAAAGATATGGTTAAAATTCTTAAGTGTTGGGGCTGGGGATTTAGCTCAGTGGTTCCGCCGCCTGCCTCACAAGCACAAGGACCTGAGTTCAATCCCTGGCACCAAAAAAAAAAAAAAAATTTATAAAAAAAAAATTCTTAAGTGTCCAAACTCGGACTTTTCTATGCATGTGTGTCTATACATATGCTGTTTTCTAACCTGTGTTTTTATTCAACATATTGTGAAAATCTTTCCAATCAAATATATGCATCATTTTTGCATAGTGTCCTATTATATGACTGTCATAATTAGCACATTGTTATTCAATGTCTTCATTGTTTTTTAAATTTTTTATATCTCTACTTATGACAAAATAGAATTTATGAACCAAGTTGTATGATATATTTATGAACATTTTAGTACATACTGCTAAATCATATCCTCATAAAGTCAGATACTCCTCCAACCATTTATACATCCCTGGCAGTGTGTGAAGTGTTTATTTCCCCAATCTCAAAATAACGTGGAATACTATCCTTCCTTTTTCTCTTTGCTTTGCTATAATTGGCAAAGAAACATTTGTTAGTGCTGCAGTGAAAAGAGTTTGATGTGAACTATGTGTAAGAAGAGTCAAGATTAACACTATAAGAATCTATGGAAAAGAGATGCACAAAGATACTTTTCATAAGAAACAACTGAATTCTGCCAACAGTTACATACAGAATAAGAGAGCCTTTCATTCATTTATAGCTGTCTTAATCCCCTGATCATCTACTTTGTTTCACAACTAGGAAGGAGCTTTTGGCATCTAGTGAGCAGAAATTAGACATGTAGAACATCCTAAAATATGCAGAAATAGCCCCCACCCCCATCCCAAACTATCAGTTGTGCTGAGGTTGAGAAACCTTAATTGAAACCCCAACCCCATTTCTCAAAAGGAATTCTGTTCACTGGGAGAGGAATTTGGTTGCCTTCCACATCTGACAGGTTGTAGCTTGTTGGACCAGGGTTAGAATTTAATCATATTGCTAGTGTTTAAGAAATTGGCTATGTCCCATCTGAAATAAGCACTAGTCCCATTTGGACCACTTTGTAGAGAGCCACTAGAGACTCAGGTGAGGGGAATTGTTACTACAACCAGGTGGCATGATAGAAACAACTGTGTGGGGTAGGGGGGACATTGGAGCCTCCAGCTAGAGTATAAGCACTGGGAAGTAAATACAGAACTTTATGGGAACAAAGAGCTAGTGGGGAAAGGAAAAAGTTGGAGAGTTTAGTGGGATTCTTGATTGGATAAGAAAGAATGTCTAGTTTGTAGAAGCCATTACCAGGACTCAAGTTCAGCCTTTAGGTTTTACAGCTGGAATTTTCATTTCAAAGAAGCACCAACTGTTGAAAGACAATGTATTCATCATCCCATGCAAAAATCACATGATGAAGCTGGTTGGGTGTGACTTGGCCACATTTATACATAATAAAACATTGTACATACCCATCCTAACAACTGAAAAACTGCTCTTTAAAATATTTACTAAGGAATGCTTCCAAGAAAAACCAGTAAAGCAATGGAAAGTGAGATAGGGAAGAAAAGGAAGCCAAGTTGGATGCTTTATGAAGTCAAGTCCCGTGGCAGGGAACCGCCAGACTTTCAAGGGAGCACTGGAGGCAATGTAGGTCACACTTCAACATTTCTCTGATTAGGGGCAAAGGAACTGGCATACGTCATTTCTTTTTAATCAGTCATTGCTGTAAGAGCTATCCCTCGGAACCTTTTCCTAGTCCACTCTGGCTCTCTACCACCCAGGAAAAGTAGGTTGGAGTGGCTGAAGGGCAGCCTCTGACTAGGCCAGTATGTGAATGCAACACTAGCATCTGCTACAGCCATAATCTCAGCAGGATACTCAGAATCTTAGACCAACTCCTCCCCCCCCACACACACAGTACTAGGGATTGAAATACAAGGCCTTTGCACTGAGCTATATCCCCAGCCCATTTTTATTTTGAAACAGGTCTCACTAAATTGCCTAGGCTGAACTTTAATTTGCAATCCTGCCTCAGCCTTTCAGAATGCTGGGGTTACAGATATGTGCCACCACACCTGGCTTAAAGCTGTTTTTGAGTGCAAAAAAATACAACTTTATTTTGATATATTGTATATAGTTATATGTAGGTATTTTTTCGAGAGTCTATCAACTGAAGGTACCTGTATATGATAGTGCAACATTAAGGGGATCCAGAATATAAAGCTTATTGCAGCATTTATAATAGTCACTGTCAAAAGTGGTTTGAGGAATTTCTACTTCTAGCCAAGAAAAACCAGAACCAGATTTAGCACCCATCCTGAAATAATGTAAAAAATAGATAAGACCATTCTCAAGACATTGAACATCAGACAAGGGGGAACAGTGAACTTGGATAAATGGCAAGCAAGTGAGGTGTGCTTTGTGATTGCCCCAGCTGACTGCTTGGGAAGTTTCCCAATTAGGAAGCAAGCCAGAGGAACCCATGAAGACCCTGGAGTCTTTCCAAATTGAGGAAACCAGGCCAGAGTCTGCAGGTCAGGTTACCAGAGAGAAAAGAGCTGCACAGAGATGAGCACGTGGAGCTGCAGAGGGTTCCCCTCATTCATTTGAGTGCTGGTTACTTAAGTATGAGGAAACCACCTGAAAGCGTTAGAGGAAACTATTTCTGGAGTTCACATGGGACCAGAAATATCTTCTGCTCTCACTAGAGTAGGAAACCTCATTGTTCACAGGGTGCTGGTTAGAGCACCTGGAAGAGTTTTGCTTCATTAATAAGGAAAATTTGGTCTAGGTCTAAACACTTCTCTGGTTCTGCCTCACATTTAAGAACAAGATCTGAAAGGGTTAAGCTGTTTGATAACCAATTCCAAAAACACCCAATATTTATAGGAATGCAAAGATTCCTGACACCAAATATGGTAAAATTCACAATGGAATACTACTAAAAATGCAAATTAATCTTTATTAACAGCAAATCAGTGGCTGCCTCAGGATGGCTGGGAGGCGCAGGAAGTAGAGATTGCAAAGGAGTGTTACAAGGAAACTTGGAGGTATGAATATGTCCATGATCTTGATTGTGGTGATAGTTTTGCATCATATGCGTACATCAAAGCAGAATAAGTCTCATTTCACTCAGGCAGTCTATTGGAAACATTTTAATGTTTTTCCACTGAATTGGGAATATTATGAGAAATCTGAGCAAGGCTCGGTAGTTCCCAGGCCATCTTCAGTTTTGTTTCCTGCTTTGCCCATGTGGGGCCAAGAAGGACACTGGGATTGCAAATCAAATATCTAACTATAGGGCTCTGAGAGGGTCCCTGACCTCTCAGGCCTCAACAGTAGGACATTTAGACAGGTCAGCTTGGTTTTAGCTTCCACACCACTCACAGTTCAGTCTACTAAGTCACAAGTAAGGAAATGGGCTTGCATAACAAAGTAAGAGCCAGAGCCAGGCATGGTGGCACACACTTGTAATCCTAGCACTTGGGAAGCTGAGGCAGGAGAATTGCTGAAAGTTTAAGGCATGAACTACATAACAAAACTCTTTGTCTCAAAAAACCAACCCCCCCCCCCAAAAAAGAAAGAAAGCAAGAGCCAACAATTCTTGCTGCAGAAGCAAATGAGAACTCACAAAGAATTTTAAGAGTTCATACCACAGCCTAGGCACCA